CCGGGTTGATCTTCTTGCGCGCCCGGGAGACGAACGGCCAAAGACCGGCATGATGGAGCTGCGCGTCGAGGTCGTCGTAGCCCTGCAACTCCGGGTAGCGCTCCGGGATGATTCGTGGGGGAGCCACAACCCGTTTGGAGAAAAAGGTGAGAAATCGGGTGCGCTCCTCCTCGGAATCGAACCAGAGGTACGACCCATCACCGTAGTAGAGGCGTTCCTCGGAGGTCGTGGATGGAGCCCGGGATTTAGCCTTGGATTTGCCGGAACCTCCTGCCCTGTTCTTATCTTTGGCCATGATGAGGAGATTTGAAAAAAAAAACTTGTAAGGAGGATGAATTATGCAAAAAGAAGGGAGAGAATTGTGTTTGTGTGTGTAAAAATAAGGAGTGGAGGCTCCAATTTATAGAAAAGGAGGCCTCCAACGTCCAAAATTTCAAAAAAGTGACTGTTGGAGAAGTTAATGCTGCTGCCAACGGATTTTTTTTTTGAAAATTTTGACCAGAACAGCGATGTTCTACAGGCGACATCGCTGTTGGGACAGCGCTGTTGTTCCCTGTACAGCGCTGTTCTGCGTCAAGTTTTAAAAAAAACAAGAGTCAAAAGGACAGCGTTGTTGTGTACCCTACAGCGATGTTCCAAAAGTTTCTGGAATTGTGAAAGGGTGTGAACCCATTAGGACAGTGCTGTTGGGTGTCATTACATCGTTGTTTTACGATAGACAAAAATTTGTAAAGATGGACATCGATGTTGAAAGTGAGACATTGCTGTTTGAAAAGTTTCTGGTTTTGGTTGAAAACAAAAAGTTTTGGGAAGACAGTGATGTTTAAAAGGGAACATCGATGTTCAGAAAGTTTCTGGAAAGTGAAGGTGTAAGGGACTCCCTGGGACAGCGCTGTTGGGTTGATGGACAGTGCTGTTGGAAAACTTTCTGGTTGACGGTGTTTCCCTCAACAGCGCTGTTGTGTCTCCTGGACAGCGCTGTTTGCATGGTTCCCCCTGATTTTATGAACGGGGTACCTGCAAAAAAAGAAAAAGTTCTCCGACGCTCAAGTTAGTAAATGTTTAATAAATTTAAATGCACAACTTAGATCATCGTGGAGTCAAGGATTCC